CCTTAATGATGTCATGTTAAAGGGACCTATAGTGCAATCTTCCTTGTTCTCAATACTGTTACGATTCAGAGTACATAAGATAGCATTAACCGCAGACGTTGAGAAGATGTACCGTCAAATACTAGTAACTCCAAAAGACTGTCAACTACAACGAATTTGGTATCGTCCAAGTCCCTCTGAACTGTTAAGGGAATATAACCTTCGGACAATCACGTACGGTACAAAATCAGCTCCCTATTTAGCGACCCGTAGCCTGGTGGAAGTAGCTTTTTCAGCTCCAAATGAAGCTGCTCAAAGAGCTATAAAAGATGATTTCTATGTAGACGACCTACTTACTGGTGCTGAATCTTCAGACGAATGTTTCCAGCTATACAAAGATGTTTCAGACACGTTGGCGTCTCGTTGTCTACCGTTAAGAAAATGGTGTACAAGTTCTTCCGAAGTCCTGAGTAAATTACCAAATTCTGGGACCGATCCTAATCATGTTTTACAATTTAGTGAACAGGATGCTGTCAGTACGTTAGGTATAATGTGGCAACCCATAACAGATTGTTTTTGCTTTACATTAAAGCCATGGAATCCACCCAAAAAAATGACTAAGCGTACATTGCTTTCTGACATTAATAGGATTTACGATCCACTTGGTTTCCTAACACCAGTTCTTATAACTGGAATGATCTTTGTTCAACAGTTATGGGTGTTGAAGATTGATTGGGACACGACATTACCCGACGATATGCAACATCGGTGGAAAAACTTCTATTTATCTTTGAATGCGTTGGATAAATTAGCCATTCCACGTCGGCCATTGTCAAGTAATTGGTTAAACATACAGCTTCATGGATTTTGTGACGCCTCGCAGGAGGCGTACGGAGCATGTGTTTACACAAGAACACAGAATTCAAATGGAGATGTTGAAACAGCTCTATACGTTTCAAAATCAAGGGTAGCACCACTTCATGCGACCACTATACCCCGGTTAGAACTCTGTGGTGCTGTACTACTCAGTGATTTAACTACAGAAGTCATTTCTGAATTAAAAAAATTGAATATAAACCTACATCAACGCGACGTTGTACTGTGGTCAGATTCAACGGTTGTCATCACCTGGATAAATAGTACACAGCCACATTGTAATCCAGCTGATCTTATAACACGTGGACAAACAGTTAACAATTTACAACAGTGTTCAATGTGGTGGAGTGGTCCACACTGGCTCTCAAAGCACCACACTTCATGGCCTACACGTACTCAGCCAATCTTAAATGAGGTACCTGAAGTACGACCTGTTAAATTGGTGCTTCAGGCATCTGCCCAGCCAGTAGATGATTATCCGCTCAGCAAGTTTTCTAAATGGAACCATATGGTACGCGTTACAGCGTACATGTTGCGTTTCATATCCAACAGTCAAGGATGAAGAGGAAGAAGAACATAAACTACAACTACAATCATAGTATCATCTCAAGTCATTTATTATTATCATTTGTATTTATTGTTTAAGACAGTTTGTCTAGCCGCCTAAGGCTCAAGTCATTTATTATTATCATTTGTATTTATTGTTTAAGACAGTTTGTCTAGCCGCCTAAGGCTCAAGTCATTTATTATTATCATTTGTATTTATTGTTTAAGACAGTTTGTCTAGCCGCCTAAGGCTCAAGTCATTTATTATTATCATTTGTATTTATTGTTTAAGACAGTTTGTCTAGCCGCCTAAGGCTCAAGTCATTTATTATTATCATTTGTATTTATTGTCAAAGACAGTTTGTCTAGCCGCCTAAGGCTCAAATCATTTAGTATTATCATTATGTAATTGTTATTTATGTTTATAGTCAAAGACAGTGTGTGTCTAGCCATCTAAGGTTCGAATCAAATAGTATTATCATCATGTTAGTCGCTTGCTCTGTATTCCACTCATAGATCAAGTATGTTTATTGTCGTTAAGGTTATTGATGTGCTACTGTGATCTTATCTGTTTATGCATATGTAATGTTCAAATATCATGTCTTAGGGAAATCAGCATCATCATTAATCATGTCTAATGAGCCTTGAAAGGACCACATCCTTTCAAAGGGGGGAATATGTTTGCGCTGCAAACGAATTTATGTTGTGTGTTTCTGTTATCATTTTCATGTGCACGTATCAGTGCGTTCCACAGTTGCAGCCTTCGTCGGCTGATGCTTATCAGGCATTCGTGTGCGACCGGCCAGCTGTGGAACAATTATCAATGTTTTCATTATATTTGGTTATGTTAAAAACTTTAAGTTGTGTTTCGAGTAGTCATGCTTTCAGTGTCATAAAGTTCACAATGTTTTTGTTATCGGTTATTGTTTTAGTGTGGTGACACTGAAAGTCCGTTCGTTTTTGTGTTGCTCTATTGTGCCTCCAGGACATCGTGCGGGGCCTTTCACTTCACTTTTTGTGCTCCGAGCCGAGCGGTTCAATTATTGTTTTTCGTTGTTGTCTCGTCATGTTTATGATGAGCTGTTTGCAGTCGTCCAAAACCACGTTGTTGTGAATTTGTGTTTAAGTTTCTGGTAATTATCGTTCTTAGCAATTTGTATTGCCACCACTAATTTGTGTTTAAGTTACAGGATGGTCAAAATTACCAAAGATTTGTGTTGTGAATCAACGTGTTTTTGTGTACCTCATTGCTCGTGGGAACAGTAGTGCGAACACTAGAAATCCTGTTCCGGCTGCATTCAATGTATTATTGTTATTGAAGTCATCGTCAACAGTTGCTGGCACACACCCGAACGTACGCAGGGTCAATTTGTCTTTATTGTAATTTAGTGATATACTTACAGGCCCTGGTGCGGTAACGTGGGTGTAAAACCAGGTGTGTGTCTCAACTGTTATGTGAGTATTGGTCGACCAGATATATGTGTGTATGACCGACGGGTCTTAAAGTAGTAAACATCTCATTATTATGTACTGTTAGTCATTAATGCATATTATTTATTAATTGTATTCCATTGTATATTACAGCCGTTCAGGCCTGATTCAATCATATGTTATTATTATTATTATTATCATTATTATAGCCAAAGAGGCAAATGAAATTATACTTTATATTGTTACTATTATTATTATTATTATCATTACTGTGCCAAACGGCAATAAAAATTTATTATAAAATACAGTCCACATTTTTATTTACAACGACAAGGCTGTTCAATATCATTTTGTTCACCTTAAGCGTTATCAGTAAGCATTAGAAAAAAAGATGCATATGCAACAAGTTCCGGGCCCTATAAAAATAGTTATAAATAGTATAGTTCAAGAATTGTATTGTATTGATGACTGAAAGTCTTGTTTAAAATCGAAATACTACCTATTATAGTATTATTATGAAGTACTATGAGAACTACTGTTATCATGAAGTATTATAAAGTTAATTATAGTTATTTATGAATTATAATCACAACAAAAACCCTTCGTAAACTTAAATAAAAAATTGCTAAGTAAAAAAAATGTAAGATCTGTAAGCACTATAAAGATGTGATATTATGAATAAATGGCTAGTTTATTTAATTTAAGTGAACTTAAAGTACAGCGTAAAGTACGGACAACAATTGTTTATGTAAATACCACGATTTAAGATAGTTAAGATCTTAAATCGTGGTAAATACTGAGTAAATATTTAGTACCTATTTACACAATAATCTATAACAGCGATACTCAACCTGCGGCACTCCAACGATTCCATATGTGGTCCGAACAGAACTGATTGAATTGATAAAAAATATAAATTTCAAAACTAATATTATTATAAGTATAAAATACAGAACAAAGTGCTACATAATTTCCCAACCCTTAGTTGATCAAGATGTATTCTATATTAATTTTCAATTTTGTGAGTATCATACAATTTAAATGTTTATATTAAAAAAATATGGACAAGTTGATACCTCTCTGCTGTATAGTATAGTTGTCCAGCATGTCATTGTAAATTGTAATGGATGTGTTATACTCAGTGGCATGGCAAACTTCATTAAATTATGAGGCACAATAATTTAAATTAGTAATTATAAATACTTATATATAAATAATACGTATTTACTTAAATGGTAACTGAGAATAATTAGATTAGTCTATTAGTGTGTACTTAATAAATTATTTACTATATGTGAAATGCCCTAAGTCTCTAGGACACCCATCACCCTTTAAGCTTACAGTCCTTCGTTACGCCACTGGTTATATTTGAATTCAATGATAAATCATTGCATAAATGCATACAAACAACGATTCTGAATGGAGATGTTGTGTCATCCAAGCATACTTCAATACTTGTATAAATAATCAAATTTAATAATTAGAAAAAAAATAATAAAAATCGAAAATTAGTTAGGTGTATACCGTTAAATTCGGGCCATAAACAATGATATTATCAGTATTTATTGTGTGTAGGCATATTATTTCATTTGATTTATGTGGTGGTTATCTAAAACCAACTCAATATTATACCGTATGTTTGGTAATATATCTAAAATATCTTTTCTATGATGACTTGTTAGTTGTTATTAACTATTACATTATAACTATTATAATATATTTAATTAAATTAATTCTATTATAGTTTGATATATGATAACCGTCTGTAATAGGGCCATAGGGATAGAATATTTGAGCATTCATGCGTTCAAAAATAATAAAAACGTTTTAAACGTACTTAAACTATTATTAACTAATATTATGCAAGATACAATTTATTTAGAAATTATAATTCAACATTTTACATTTAGAAGGCATTGTTTGCATTTTGCATTACAATATTGATTAATCCATAATGTCAATAATAAAAATGTATTTAGTAAACCTTAATATTACTTATTAAAATGGTTTGCAATAGTTATATTATAATATACAAATGTTATAAACTACGTTGTTTAAAAAAATATAAATAAAATGTAACAGCATTATCTACAAAGAAAATGTAATACAAAGTAGGTATAATTAAATAATAAAATCAAATTGATTTATTATTATCACAGAATAATAAATTATATTATATCTAAAACATTTTTAGGCAGAAGATTAAGATCGGTTTCATCTTCCATTTCTTGGTCATTAATTTCTATTTTTATTTTTATTTCTGGTACTTCTTCATTCTCTTCATCGTCAACACTTAAACTAGCCATCTCTTCCATAAGGTGGGGATCAATTTTTAAAATCTATCAAATAGTACAGATATTAAATGTTTAGCATGTTTTAATTACTGCTAGCAAATTACTTACCCCATCAGGATTTAACGTTTCATACTGATGTTTTAATGTTTGCAGTTCAAAATCACTTGAGCTACAAGCTGCCTTTAATTCATTCAACAATACAATTTCATTACGCAGATCATTGTAATTTTGGCATATGTCTTCAGTTGGTATGGGATTTAATTCTAAAAAAAAAAAAAAATTAATTATAATATTATTTTAAATAAATTGTAATACATACTAATTTTTAGTGACTCTAGAGCCTGTTCAACATTTTTGACTTTTTTTTGACTAACATTAGCTGGTATTTTCATTCTTTGTGAGCGAGTAGACACACCACTATTTTTAATATCCGGAAATTTAATAGTAGTAGCTTCAAAGTTCTATAAATGAACATTTTAATAAAATTATAAGTTTACGAATAAATAAATTATTAAACATTACATTTGGATCAACTCGAGTTGGCCTGACTGGAACAGTAACGCGTTTACGGTGATGAGTTGTTTTTTTGTCAATTTTCAAACTTTTCCGACTATCATTTTGTTTATCAACAGCACTAATTAATTTTTGTAGATCTTGTGTCTTACGGTCTCTATCACGTTTCCGTGCTTCAATCTTACGCATTTCTTGTATTAACGTTTGTTCCTCCTCTATCTAAACATTATCAATTGAAATATTATAAATATGCACAAAACCATACAATGCTATTGTATGTTAATAAATACTTGTTTAGGAGTTCTACTATAAAGCCTTTCAAGTTGTTGTTTTCTACGAGTTTCATGTTCGGCATCATACATTTTCGATTCATTGACACTCCCTCCTCTAATCTAAATTAATAAAAACCAATTATTGGTAAACATGGTTCAAAAATATTTTTTTGTCTACAACCTTTGTCAGCGTATTACACACTGAATAATATCTATCTTTCAGATCTTCAGTAGATCGCTTAACAGCGTTTTCATATTCTCCAAGGTTCCATCTAGCCTGAATGATTATAAAACGTAAATCAAACCATTCACACATGTCAAAAAGACGATCAGTCTCTTCTTGAGTCCATGTTTCCGACACTAAGTGTTCTTTATATTCAATATCTGTGTACTTGGGTATTTCTATTTTCTATTTAACAATTATAATATATTTATACATTGTGTAAACTGTAAATGAACAATATTTCAATCTTTTCAAATAATACCTTATTAAACTTAGCAAATGGGTACTCTTTACCCTCATCGGCAACTCTCCGCCAATGAGAAAAAGAAACATTATCTGTCCGAGCTGGGTTGATAAAAGGAGCCCATACCCAAGGACGAACACGTCGCATACCCAATCTAGCTTTTTGGAGCTTATAAGTAGGACCTAAACAATTAAATGTAGAAGTTAACAATATGTAGTAAAATCGATTAAATAAAATAAAACAATTACCAGTTTCGGTTTCAATAACAGGTGGCACATCCTTCTTATCATTATACAGTAAGGCAAACACCTCACGAGCCATTCCTTCTGGTCTACGGGTCTGACGATTACCTGATGGTAGTGAGATTTTCTTTTTGTGTGTACCAAGTATGTCTTCTTTAGATACCTGAGGAGTGGATCCCCTTTCTATGTCCATAATATCACGAATATCTTCAGTCATCTTGAACGATTTCAGTTGGCAAATGTCAAAATATAAGAACTAAGAAGTAGTCAGTACTACAGTACTATAGTAGTTGCTATAAAGTATAAATTATAATTTGTATTGTGATTTGTGAATTGTGATATTGTTTGTTTAGTATTTACAAACTTTGTATTAATTTCAATTTTGTAATAATATCAATTCTGTGATTATAAAAAGTTTATCTAAGACCATGAATGTTGTACCATTTGTACCATAGAATATTCTGTGACCATAGTATATGATAATACAGATAATACGATAATACCACAGAACAATATAGAAGCGAAACTCGATCAGCTCTGCTGATTGGGGTCTTGGTTACCTATGATCACGAATTAAGATACCTTATTCGTGATATAAACCTTGGTTTCGTACCCCTAATAATACCTATCTATACTCTATTCAGAATAATTAAGAAACACAGTCGGCGGCGACGGGTTTTCGTCGGGCGGCGGTCAGACGCCGTCCCCACTACAGCGACGCGTCGGGCGCTACCACGGAAAAAAGCCACGCCCATGCGCACAACTCGGCCGCCGTCTAGGTTTCTTATTTTGAACAGAGTATACTAATCACGATTTAAGATACTACCATTTAAGATCACAGTCCACAGAACAATGCTTAAATCGTTCTACTAATTAAACTATATTATTTATTATTTTGTCGAACATTTTTTTTAATTTGACAATTTGTTAATTGTTTAGTATTTCAGTATTTGACATTTGTCACTTGACAGTCAAAATAATAAAATACACTTTATTAAAGTGGCTACTGGCTATACGCATATACAACTATTATTTAATATTTATTTATATTCCACAAGTCTAACAACTTCAACAATACTATTCGATTTGTTATTTGTTTTTAAGAAATCACAATTTCGTTATTGTATTATCAAAAGATTACTAAAATACTACCCACGGACTAAGATATCTTAGTCCGTGATACTACCACAGAATAAGTCTGTTATACCACCATATATAAATATACAATTATTATAAGCTGTCAAATTTGATTTTTGAAAACCATATTTTATATTATATATTTTAATAATGACAGAAATGCACGACCCCGACTTACAAACTAAATCAAGACGTGGTGTGTAAAATGTACATATTAAATGTCTGCAGTAATCAAATTTAATTGTTTACATTATTTTATGTTTGTTTCGTTTCAAAATAAGCCACTGGAATTTTGTCAGAAAATCTTCATTTTGTTGCAAACGAACCATCTTTGGCGTTTTATCGACTTCAAGAACATGTACGGAAATCTGTACCTCCCATGATAGAAAAACGAGTACAAGTTCAAAAACTTCATAAGGAGTTACAGGGGCACTATTATGATGTGGAATATGCAATAGGGTAATAATACATTTTTTTACTTTTGGATTAATTAATAATATTATAACTTTACGACTCATATTATGCATTGATATTGTAAATAAGAGCTATCAATTCGATTAAGAACTGCGAAGAACCATTGAACAATATTCAAGAACAACTTAAAAATGCTTTATTCCTTAGTCAACAAATCAAGTATGAGCATACTAGGCGGTGAGTCACATTTCAGTTATAAATATTCATATTTTAGAAAGTCAAGTAGGTACTTCTCCAAAGTGTATACTTATAGTTATAGGTACTTACAAGTACAACATTCAATGCATGCTTTTATCAAGATTATTTTATGATTTGATTTTGCTTTATTATGATTATTGAGACATCTAGGCTTACATTTTTTTTTATATATATATTATAATATTATGTAGATTGAAAACTTCTCAAATAGACAATGATGCACCGTCCAAGCCTAATAAAAATGTACCAATATGATTGTTTATATAGCCTGTGCTTACTGTAGAGATTTATCTGGTAAGACATTTCTAGTTGGATGTCGATATTCAACCTTGAGCTTATTGTTGATTTTTTCTTAGAATTACATATTATTCTGTTTTAATAATTGTGTTTATTTATTTTGATATTTTAGTGGAAAATCTAAAAAAGATTCTATGTATAAACGGCTATCTGCACACTTGACTACCACTCTGGACCTACCTGAATTACCAGAAGCTATCAGAGATACAGCCAACAAAGTAGAATCTATGGTGAACAGTGCACGACATTCTAATATATATTAATAGAGCTGTAAGTCTTTGTCATCTACTCATATGTAATAATAGTATTAAAAATTTGTAATATTAAGTGTTTAGTAATAATAATAATAACTATGGTAACATACCGACTATATTTATAGTTATTATAGACCTAAATATAAATATAGTGATATATAAAAAACTAGAAAAAATTGGTCATTATGATAATATATATATAATATATCGCCATTATTCATAAAGGTTAGAAAATAGTATTCGATGGTTCATAATTCAAAAATAATAAATAATTACAAAATCTATATAAGAAATATAAAATCAGTTTTTGAAAAGTAATTTTTATAAAAGTATTAATATTATCTAAAAAGAATATAAGCCTGTATAGTAGTAACACCATGAATGTTTCATATTCGAAGGCGTATCTCACACTGAAATCTTAGGTTAAAAATAAAATCACAAATCAGTTGGGTAGGTACTTGGGTAGAACTTCAGAACTACAACTGATCAAAGAAATTCTTTTAGATATATACATACGGGTAAATATATATTATGTAGACATTTGAGACATTTTTTAATAATTTATGTACCATACATTGGGAGCAAATTAAATCACTGTAAAAATTCCATAGTGCGATACCAAATAATTTTTAATAGATCTTTAGATATTATATTGTGAAATCAGTGTATACATTTATTTTACTGACAATATTCAACAGTTTATATATTATAGTTTTTGTAAAGTTCTAACCATAGGTACCAAACATTACACAACAATCTATAATTTATGGTTTAATATAAATTTATTGACTGAATCTGTCATTAAAATTTTGTTTATTTTGAAAGTTGGCTTTACTACACAATACATTTTATTATATAGTTATATTAATAGCTAGTCCATGTAAACCATTGTTAGAAATGCAAAATTGTTTTTTTTTTTAATAAAATATTGATAAACAAAAAAAAACTAAATAGACTTGTTTTCTTTATTTCAATGCGATTACTAATTTTTAACTTTTCAGTGTCAAATTTATTGTGTTTTTTTTATCAAATATTAATCATTAATTTCATTATCAATTTACTGAAATTCATATATAGTCAATGACCTATCAGCTATTTGCAGTGGCGGCGTGAACTATTTTATTTTATGAGGCAAGTATAAATGTTCGACCACCACCACCTAAATTTTATCACACAGACCCGTGGGGGCTTTGCCCCCACACCCACAATTCACAATTCTACAACGATAATATACTTTGTTGTGTTAATATCAGAAATATAATAATAATTAGTATAATTAATAGTATTAGACATTAGTTGACCATATTTATTAATTTATTTTTTTTATTAGGGTTAAGGCTTCGACAACTTAGGTCATTAGCCTGTGGTACTGTAGATTCGTTACACGTGTGTGTTTGTTTTGGCAGAATTTTTTATTTGGGGCACCTGTAGGTATTTGCCATGCCGGTGGGAGATGGTGGCTCTTATTCTCCGTGACTTACCCAAAGAAAATTGCCGCCCGCGACCAAGGAATCGAGCTGACACCGGCTGCGTCGCGACCGACGCCTTAGACCACTCGGCCACTCGGTCTCCTTGACCATATTTCATATGTGGTTTTTAATATCCGTACCCGGGGGGGGGGGGTACCACCACCTAATTGGTCGTGAGGCAATTGCATCATGAAACACCCTATCACGCCGCCACTGGCTATTTCTATTATGGAACATTAATTAGACTGATCTATTTTAGTCTTATATAATTTACTAAAGAAATTGAAGGTACCACAGATTATATGAAAATTATTTTCATATAATCTGTGCTCATACTATAATCTTCTGCATGATCCAATACTAAAGTAGTGGTCTTATATCATTAGATGATGTAGAATAATAGATCATAAACAACTTTGATTTCAGTTAATGAAAGTGATATTCCACTGTTCCAGTAAGTTCTAACAATTTTATAATGTTTTAATAATTAAATATAAAATACTATATTGCTGAACGACCATACTTCGCTCAATAAAGATGATAAAAATATATATAAATATAAACTATGACGCTATATCGGTGTACTTAAATTTGGAACTAGTGATGGTAAAATGCTATTTATTTAGCAATAGCTATATTATATAGCATATATTTTATTGCCAATGCTATTTACACTGCTACTGCTATTTCTTACCATCACTATTTGGAACTAATTTTACCGGGGTGGGCAATCCACTTGTGGTGAATTGGATAATATAACACTTGGTATAATTGCAGACCAGGCTCAAACTAAACTCTCCTTGATGTCTCGGGTCGAGTAGTTTTTGAGTCTTTATTAGCTATAACAATCATACGGACATTAAATCAGTGTGCCGTTCATTTTGATTGAGCGTTGCATACTCGGACAGATTTTGGTTTGCTTCCCCTTTAGACAGTGGCTGGTCTGTACTCTGTTTCAGATGAACAGGCTTGAGGAGTGTGTTCTCAAACGGTTTTTAGTCTTATACTTCCGTCGATCGTCCCTTTCAAACAAATGTGCTTAAGGCTTAAGCAGTGTGTACTCGATCAGTTTCCAGCCTTGCTCCACATTGCTTGTCTGTTACAAACGAAGTGGCTTGAGAAGTGGCATTTTTGATTCCCGTTGCTCGTTTGTTTCAGACGAGGTTGCTTGAGTAAGGTATACTCAAACGGCTTCTAGTCTTGTTTCCCTTTCCTTGTCTGTCTCTAAAGCTAGTTTTGCTCGACCAATCGCTGTTCGTTTATTTGGCATAATTGATTTTGAACTAAGGCTAAATGAAATATTAAAAGTCGAAACACAACGACTAGATTTCACCCCAAAAAATACAAACTAACAATTAAATCAGAATACCTAATGGATGACATAGAAACAATAACTATATTAACAACTACTTCATGGATGGTATAACCATATTCTATGGTAGTGTGGTGCAACTAATTATCAATTAATAACTTAGAAACTTCAAATTTCAAGTCAAATTTTAAAGTTTTAAACTGTTGAGTGACGAGCGTTGTAATGCTGTTCCATAGATTAGAATACCTTTGTTCTATCAGTAATCAGCATGATGTTTTATTTTTATTAATATCCTGATACAGCTGATATATAATTATATTTAAAATAACCAGTAGCGCTCCAAAAGGCAGTATCACAATGAACCGATTATAGTCTATATTGCCATCCCTAATTATAGATGATAGATCACAATTTAAGATATACCTAATATATATATAAACAGGGGTACATGGATAAATAACTTATTTAGTTACTAGGTATATTATCTTAAATCATTGTATCTTATATCTTATATCAATTAGTTCTAAATGTTGACACGTCATATTGTTGAATGTTGACATCAAGCCCTAGTAGTTAATTTGTTCAGCTGTTTTGTTCAGTCACTTTGTAAATCAACTATTTATCAATCTGAAATTCTGAAAGCCGTTTATTTATAAATTTATATAGTTGTATATTATTTAGAATGTTTTTGTCAATATATACATACATACATATATAAATACTTTAAAGTTTAAATTACCAATTTTGGAATTGAACTTTCTGAGAAAGATACTTACTTTTCTTTCTACCATTGTTAGTACCTACCTAGTGCACTGGGGCGACTACATGTGTGACATGATGGTTATTTTTCTCAAACTTTGATTTACCCCTAAATAATTTTTTACTTAACACAATTTGTTGTCTTAGGTATATTTTTCATTTTTATATCTATTTCTACTAATTATAATTGTATTATAATATATTAATATGTAACTTATGGCCACCATTTAAATAAACTAAAAAATATTTTATATTTCTGTGCCAAAACTAATTGTACGTGTGAGCGTAAATGAGTTTAAAAATAAGCTACAACCACCATAAGAGTTTCAAGTAATATATAATGATGTAACTAGATTGTAAACAGTCCATTAGTTTCTGAGTATATAGACAACAAAGAAAAAATTAGTATTGTATATATAAATTAGCAGTGTTGGGTAGAAACGTAACAAAAGTAACTTGTTACTTTGCTTGTAACGCGTTACGTAATTTCATTACAATTATTTCCAAGTAATGAAAATTACTTTTGAAAAGTAATTTCTATAAAATAACGAGTTTCAGCTTCGATCTATTAAGTACTTACCTACCTATTGCGAATTGAAAAACAAATATATGTATAAAGCTGGTATTATTATGTTCACCAATCTAATATGTAAATATATTTAAACTTAACTCGCCACAATTTATTTTTCAATGGTTTTGACATTTGAAATGTCCAATATTGCACATAAATCACGAGAACAGGTAATTAAATTTATTATTTAATTAGATTCCTTTAAATAGGTTTCCTATGAATAGCTTGTGTTTAAGTTTTATACGATCCTATTAACTATATTCAGGTTTTATAAAGAATTTGCTTGTTCAATTTGCCTACAGAAAATAATGGCCAAGAAATTAAAAATTTTTTTTTAATTTTATTTGAGTAACGAATTAAGTAACTTAATTACATTTATCTCTTAGTAATGAGTAAAGTAACTTAATTACTATTTAAAAGTAACTTAAACAACACTGTAAATTAGTTGATAACTGTTTTCAATATTCCAAAATATGTGCATAACCTTGCTCTGCATTACATGCTCAAAGCTGCAAATAATAGTTATTAAGCCTTGGGCCACTCAACCACCTGTACCTGTTAAGTTTTAACTATTTCATGTAATTTTTGTATCGGGTTTTCTCTGAACAATAACAGTTGCAAAAGCCAAAAACCACCACTGATTTTGACCACAAAAAGATCGGTAGACAAAACACCACACACTTTATTGGTTCACTGTATAGCAAAATACCGCACAATATTTTTATTGTCAAATAACAGAATAGATAAAAATATAAAATACTGAATAATAATCAAGCTAACACATTTTAAATCTTTAGTCGCCACTCGCCATTAGTCGGTCTTGTGTATAGTTTTATGATATACCAATATAGTGGTTAAAAAGTATGTGATTTTTAGAGCATTTTCATTTAAATATTTTAAATTATAATGGATGTTAAAATTATTGATAGTAATAAAGGGGCAAGTGTTTAGTACTTGACACAATTATTTTAAGTACAAACCATTATTAGAATGCATAATAGTAAAAATGTTGGGGAGAATTTTTAAAATAAAATGTACATTTTAAATTTTTTTAAATTAGGTATACATAAATTGTAAATAGTTTTTTTATTTTGAATGAATATAAATAATAGATTATACATCATTATGAAGTGTGCGATTTTTGGATACAACAATTTAAAAACGCGGTTTTAACATAATATACTGATATACTAAATATGTGCAGTTTTAACTTACCAAAAGAGTGTAGTTTTGGGGTCAACAACAATAACTACCTTTTTATTGTACCTAACTACTACTACTTACATAGTTACATACACTCATACCATATCTGTTATAATATGTAAAATTGCTGCTTGGCGTACAATAAACAATAATAATATTATTATATTTCCAAATAAAGAAATCAGTTGAACTCAGAAGTATTTGAAATTTACTTTTAATAGAAATAATTTATGTTAATTTTATAACATAAGGAATGACAATGAAAAATAAATAGCAAGCAATAAAAATTGAATGTTCAGTACATTATGAACATGGAATAAACAAACTTGTGTTCTTATATTTAGTGTTTCTTCTTTTTGTTCTGTACAATGGGCTGTTTGAGCAATGAACTGGAATTATATGTCTTTTGAGAAACATTATAAATATTGTACAGAGCGAATAAAGAAAACAGCAGACTGAAAAATATAAATATATCAATATCAATCAATATTTTGTTATTAATACCTAGTTAATAGATTTCTGAGTATTGACTTGCGGAAAAATGAGAAATACAAGATATGCAATAGAAAAATAGAGGGATGATTCTACAGCGTGGTTGATTCTACTTCTAATTTGGCAATTTATGATATGAATAAATACATTTTCAAATAGAAAATACTTGGTACCAAGTCTAATCAAGTTAGAATTTTAATTAATTAATATGAATAAATTTAATAAGAAACAAGTAGGTAAATATGTTTAAATGTTTTAGGAACTAAAATTTAATTAGCCCATATTTGTAATAAAATATATAAACATATTATTAATAGATATAAATAAATCATAATATTTACCCAGTTGTAGCGCATACTCTATGTATAGAGACACATGTAAAAAAAGTGAACAATAATGACAATATAACTGAAAAAAAAAATCAAATGTTTTAATTAGCAATAAAAATATTTAAAACAAAAAAATCATTTGTTATTACTTATTATCTAATATTTAAAGAAAACCACTTAGCATAGACATATATCAGCTATAGTATTGATTAGTAATGATTTATATATATATTTACTTTTCAAATCATATAAGAATACCTAATCTAAATACAATTTAATATTCAATAGACTATTGTGTAACTTATTTGTTCTAAATTTTACTTACTTTCTGGAAATAAACTAGCTTGATATCCTTCTCCCAAAAGTAATGTCATTAGATTACTTACAGCCTGGAAATCACATAGTAAAGGAAAAATAATGACAACTTGTTACATGTATTAAAGGTTATATATGGATAATGTAATACATGCATACTAAGTATTTATTATTATTTTTATTTATGAATAATCTTTAAAATTGTAGGTAGGTATGTTGTTATGATTAATTTCTTTTATATTTGTTGGCATAGAGAAACATTTTTATATTTTTTTTTTCCTTCGGCCTTAATATATTTGTTTATCGTAGACAAGATCTACTTATTAACTTATTTACTAATTAATTTCCAAATATGTAGGTAGTAAGTTCACCTTCCACAATAATGACAAATTTCATTGTTTTTAAAATTGGTCAAGAGGCAAGGGACTCTACTAGTTTAATTCTAAATCAATTACTGATTGTACTTTTTTCTTTACTTAAAATTGATAAATTTATTGTTAGGAATATATTATTTATTTACTATTATCGACCATTAGTCTTAAATGGAACCAAGCAACATGTCGCGGTGGTCAAACAATTTTGTCAAGGGGGTGGAGGGAATATGGCTGATTTTTAAACATGCACTATTTGATTGTAAAAAATAAAATTTATGGTTATCAGATCTTAAACATTGAAAAAAGTCATCACCCCCATTTGACCACTATTGCGAACATGTTAAATGGGTAATAGATTGTGTAAGTACTTAGAAAATGTGTAAACAATAAAGGATACAGTCAAGGATAGCGTAAACAACACTGAGCCAAGAAAACCTGTACCTATGACCAACACTGAACTAGATGTCAACCATTTGCTGTTGAGCTGCATGACCGAGAACAGTGACAATGCCAATAGCGTTGATATAAGGAACGACATGCCGGTGGAAACAGCTGAAAATAAAAAGCAAGATTTAAGGCTGCATTGATTGTTATTTTCATTTTGACTACTGGCTAGGTATAAGTCGTCAGACGCCAGACAGTTGTCCCTATCAATTTGCATGTTCGAACAATCATTCATAACTATATAAAATCAGATTTACCCATTGTGCTATATTTTTTTCAAGTTATGAATACGTAGAGGCAAAAGTCGGTGCGTCGATTTTGAATAACAATTAAACTCCGCCACTCGAAGATCTATGTCTTAATAAAAAGTAAAAAAAATTGAAGACGACAATATTTTTTTAATTCCTCTTTTGTTTTTTAATTATTTTTATCAAAACAATATAGTGTACGGTGTACTCGACTTAATATATTTTCTATACACCCGTGTGTTGTGCGTACGTTTTGATTTGCCCAATATAAAGATATTCAAAAATAATGCCCTCGTCGCAGTCGGCACCCGGCGTCACCACTTGCTACTCGCCAATTGCGAATTGCCAGATTTTTAGATTCTATAGAATCTATATTGTTCTATGATAGAATCGAATTCGCGATAACGTAAAACAATAGCACCCTCAGAACCATGGACTAAGATATACAGGACTGGACACGACAAGGTTGGAGGGTGTGGGGGGGTTGACTACGAAATGTTTTACAACAGGTAGTGTTCGGGGGGATATTTTCCTTTTAGCATTACTAGCGCCGTCCTAGTGGATACTTATGGAACTAGAACACATCATACAAATTTCTAGTTCCATAAGTATCCACTAAGACGGCGCTAGTAATGCTAAAAGGAAAATATCCCCCCGAACTCCGCCTGTTGTAAAACATTTCGTAACCACAATATTCATCTCGTGTCCAGTCCTGTATATCTTAGTCCGTGCTCAGAACTATAATATTATTATTTTTATTCGCGTCGAACTCGGTAATGTTGGTTACACTGCGAAATTCCTAACTAGTTTTTGTGTCGTATATATATATATATATTATAAGAAAATAATAATAATATATGTGACACCACGGACTAAGATATAATGACTGGAAACGACAAGGTGGGCGGGTGACGGGGGACGGCCCGCAAAAGGTGTCTCTGTTATCATCAACACTCATAATCGAATGTTTTCAGCGCTACCAGTGGTTTTATTTTGCGTCACATTTTGTATCTCAGTCCATGTTTTATACAGAGGGCGCTGTAAACTCTCGATTATGGTTGCGACCCCCCGCATTTGCTTCTTGTACATACTTTCGAGGCCACTGATAAGCTGCTCGTTTCCAGTCCATTATATCTTAGTCCGTGGTTGACACAATATTATTACTATAATTACGTTATCAATAGACAAATTCCATCGATATACGATAAATATTTCGCGTAATTGTTATTCTTTTAATCGTTTCTTGGTTCTTCTAGTTATTCTTTTTTCTCGCCTTTCATAATTATGATTGTGGCGTAGATTCTGTACGTTTCTATTACCATTTTGTAGTTTTCGTGTTTACTATACTCTGAAATTCTTGTCGAATCGCATTTGTTTGAAAATACTAATTAATACTACGATAAGGTAACTTAAGACTATATATTTATAGTAACAGTCATTTAGGTATAAAAACTCAAAAATGTACATTAACCAACCGTGATGATTGACATTATGAATTACGACACAATAACGGTAATCAGTTCTGTTTGCAAAGCAATCCTTCAGTATTGTGCCAACTCGCATCCGTTTGAAGAGCGTACACTCGCCCTTGATCAACCAGTCAAGATTGGACGTCTGTTGGCTAAAGCCAAAGTAAGTCCTCACAATGGGATTTTTGATTGTAAAGTCTTGTCGAGAAACCACGCCCTGCTATGGCACGAAAATGGAAAATTTTTTTTACAAGACACAAAAAGTAGTAACGGCACGTTTGTTAACAACCACAGACTCAGTAAAAGTGGTGAAGAGTCTAAACCACAAGAAGTGTTTAGTGGAGATGTGGTCCAGTTTGGTGTTGACGTGATCGAAAACTCTAAAAACATATCTCATGGCTGTATTACAGCTGTATTAAAATTATTTCATGCTGACGGTACAGAGGCTAAATCGAACCCTGTTGAAAATTTTACTAGTGATGTATCTACTCAAGATTTATATACTATAGATGCTTATATACGAGATGCAATGCACAGGGAAGCCAATTTAGAAAACAAATTATTTAACTTGGAAAGGCTGTTATCCAACATAATTGGGGAAACAGATAATAGTTGGAAAGCCCTCGTTGCTGAGGATCGTTTATTATCCAAAATTGAATTTTTAGAAAATCAACTGCAGTATTACAAAAAGGATCATGGGGAAGATGAAATGAAACAGGAAATATGTGATTTAAAACAATATAAATATTCATACCAAGGAATGGCTAAAGATTGTTTAAAAAAAGAAATGGAAGAAAAATTGAAATTGATGCAGAAATGTCAAGAATTAGAAAATCTGTTGAAACATTCCATAACTGAACAAAGTACATTGATGAAGCATCTGAATGATGCTCAAGATGAAATCAAAGAAGTGTGTTCTAAGTTAAATACAGAAGTTGCTAATCATGAAAATTGTATGAAAGAATTTGATGCATCAAAAGAATTACATGAAACCGAATTAAAAACCCTACAAGAATCAAAAAATGAAATAGAAATTAACTTTAATAATAAATGTGAAGAAATCGAAAGATTACGAGCGGAAATAGCTAAAATGAATTATGAGATCAATACACGCAATGTGCTTCTTTTGACCTTACAAAATGAACATGAGCTTACTGAAGATATTTCTCTTAATAAGTACTTTAATGATATAATGTCTTATATTGTACATATATTACAAGATCGTCAAACATATCTAAATCAAATGAACTCCCTACAAAGTCAAATGCAAAAACACATAAAACAAAAAGCTGACTTAGAAAATCAAGTATGCCAGTTACAGACAGAACTTGATCTTAATCATGAATTGTTAGTGAACTGTACCAAGATTAAAAATGTTAATGAAACAGATAATACAGATCCTGATCAACTAAAAATGATTATATTGAATGATGATAATTTAAAAAATATTGAAGTTATATCTAAAGACATTGAGATTCAGACAGATTTTTATAAACAGAAATCTGATGTCATTGAATTTAGACTATCTGAAGCAAAAGATGTACTGCTGGACTGTATAACTAACTTGGATGATCAAGAATCCACTATAAAACATCTTAAAAAAGAGATTTCTTGTAAAGATATTGTTCTATTGTTGATGTCTGAATATTTATGTCAGTTATCAAGTATTGACTCTAATAATATACAAAATGTGCCAGACATACTGCAAAAAAATCTTTGCTCTTTTAGTAACTCAAAAGGTCTTGACCATAGTTTAGATGATTTAAAAGTACCTCAAATTGAGAGTTTAAATACATCCCAAACACAGAAAAATTATATTGTAAACGAAGTCTTGATACAAGAAATCAGCTCTGATACAGTGGACACTAAAGAAGATTCAGTATTTGACCAAAATGAATTAGAACAAATTCGTAATGAATATGATTTATGTCTAACAGAAAAAAACAATCTGAAATATGAATTAGAGCAAATCACATTGAGATGCAAAGAGTTAGAACAAACTCCAAATTTCCACTTGTTTTTCGCGTTACCATCAATAGTATTATTTTTAGTCTTAGTAATTAGATTTTATTCTTATTTATCCTATTTAACAGGAACATCCGAATAAGTGCAATTAACAATATTATTTATAGTTGTATTGTTATTATTTTTAGAACTGAAATGATTTTTGAGCTCAGGTATTATTGAATATGAAAAAATTGAATTCTATATTCTACCCGTCATAAACAAATATTTATATTAAATTATAAATATCCAAGTAAATCAAAATAAATCTTAGTTAAAAACAATAACACAATTTTATCAACTGAAAGCTGGATCACATATCTTTTAAAATAATTAAATTTATCCTCCAGCTTTCTGTTATATTTGCCATTAGTAGTTATATATTTTTTTTAATAATTATAAACTGATATTACTTAATATGTGATTCCATCCATATAATATATTTTTTGAAATTATACATGCTTTTTTTTACTCAAACTTAAAAGATTATATATATACACTTATGCTTATTGGTTTTTTCATAAGAAATTAATTAAAATCCTTACATTTTCAATGCTATGAAAGTATTAAAATTTTTTTTTTCACATTAATTGTTTAACATTTTGTTATAATTTTCTTAGCTTTTTGTTGTTTTTGTTGTTCCCTTATGCAAAATTGATCTATGAACTATATATCCTATTATTATGACGCTAAATTATATTTATTAATTATTATTTTTAAATAATTGAGTTTTATAGTTTAAGATCTGTAATAGTTTAATGTAAGAATTTTTAAAACTATTTAATTAATATGAACATTTAATATTGTATTGGATTAAATTACTTTAAAATTAAATATTGATTTACTACAATATTTAAGTCCTAGTGATTTCTGTTAATATCAATACATTTTTAATTATTCGAGATTGTTTTATAAGTATGCGTAATGTAAAATGTGTTATAAAACAATGTAGTGTGTGTAAATTCTATTCTCAAAAATGCTGGGTCATTTCGAAGGCAGGAATACTATTGAATTTTATTTCAGTACTTTTTTTTTAATATTTATTCATCTAATATATTTATATTGCCACATTGTTTTTTTTTTTTTTTAAATAACTTGTATTTAATGGAAATTATGTACTCGTTGACTGAACCATCGAAATCCAATTAATACTGTAAAAATCTATATGTTATAGTTAATGTTGTATGTTATTGAATTATTATAAACATAAATCATTGTAGTCATTAATTATTATTGTTGTAATTTTTAAACAAAAAATAGTACGATTATTAAATTATTATCTATATTGTTCTTTTTTATTTCAAATGTTTGTTTCTTTTATTAACTTTATATGTCGACAATCATTTTTGAAACGGAATGTCCTTTCAATAGAAGGTAATCATTAACAGTGATATATCCAATTGTCAGGATATCAAACCAAGGATAACATACAACATTTAATATGTGAAAAATCTTTGTGTACTATTTGGTGGAGGTGTTTTTTAATATTTATATATATATATGCAATTTCATCAGGTGTGGTTTGATTCCCTGATGATTGTATATGAGAACATGTTTTATTAAGTGAACTAATATAAATATATATTAAATCACCAAACAACATTTTTATTTTTCAGTCTTTAATGATGGAATCATTGGATCAGTTAACTATTAATAATTTAGAAGTCATGGATGTAGATAGAGATTCTATTAATAGTAGTGTAATGAACATTGACAGGAACAAAATAGAAGCTATTCCTAAAACTAATCAAGTACTGACAAACACATGTAAAAATTGAATTATAAATAATATGCAAATGTATGTATATTTTTAATAGCCTATAGAATTGCAAGATCTAGAGGGTTTAACTGTTTATGATGTAAATCATTTTGAACAAGAAGTTTTACAACAAGTTACCCATGATGTGTTGGATACTAAAACTGTTTTTAACACTGGTGAGGTTCCTACAATGACCTTGGGAGCTTTAGGAATTGAAGAAACTGAATACGAACGTAAAATTAGGACAGGAGAAATGACACCATTTGGTTCAACAGATGTTTCACAAAAAAAGTCTAAAAGGTATAATATTAATGTTGTAATGTAGATCATTGCTGTTCATATAATATTTGAATTATTTTTTTTTTTTTAATTATTTGGATCTGACAACTTTCAGCTCTGAAGATATGTTGGAAAAGTATTTGGTATCTCAATCTAAACTTTCATCAATGATTCATAAACCTAAAATTAAATCATCCGGTACAAAAAAAGAGTTGAAAATAAATACGGAAAGAAAAGAACCAAAATCAAATGAATCGGGGAGTGAATATTTTCCATCAACAGATTCTGGTAAATAAAAAATCCATAGTCTATAGTATTATATTTAAATGTAATACAGTTATACCTACATAAAATTTAATATTATTTTCAATTTAAGAAAATGAATCATCTACCCCAGTTAAAATTAAAAGTAAAAAACGATCAATTAATCACAAAAAAATATGTAATCAATATTCAGATGACGATTATAATGATGGTTCTGATGATGAGTATTTTGAACCTAGACGTTGTTCAAGTAAATAATTAGAATAATCTCTAATTGATTTTAATTTTGCATTCCAAACAAAAACTACTATAAAACACAACATTTTTTTTCAAGGTCAATATAAATCATCTGATGATGGAATAGAAGAAAACTATGAGTATCGATTAAGAGAGTATGAAAAGAATAATCCTGAAATAGCCACTGATAATGAAGATGTATTTCACGCTATTGATGGAGATTATTTTAAAGTGCCAAAAGAAATTTGGGAAAAATTATACAAGTAAACTATTTATATTTAGCTGCATAACATGATGAACTATAATTTATGTATGAAATATTGTTGTTGTTATTAGATACCAAAAAATTGGCATAAAATGGTTATGGGAATTACATCAACAAGGTTCCGGTGGTATATTAGGAGATGAAATGGGATTAGGAAAAACCATACAAATGATTGTGTTTTTTGGTGCTCTGTATTGGAGTCGTTTAAAAGATAAAATAACTGGTATACGTGGCTTAGGCCCTAGTTTAATTGTTTGTCCCGCAACTTTAATGCATCAGTGGGTTGACGAATTCCATAAATGGTGTCCACCTATACGTGTTGTTGTTTTACATGAAACTGGAGCTTATAAAGGTAGGCAATTTTCAATTAAATTAGTGTAAAAATATATACTTATGGTCCCTTACCAAATATCTAGAAGTATAAGCCCATTTAAGAATTTGATATATTGAAATCTAAGAACACTGAATTATTATATTTATTATTATTATTATTGTTACCTACTTGTTAATTGTTTGTCATCACTAGAGCTAGGATTTGCATTTGCATATTTATTCTGGTTGATCGTATGATATGCTAAGTGAGCACAAAATTTGTTTCATGGCGTATATATTTAAAAAATGAAAACTTTTTTGGTGCATATTTCCACCCTACCCATTTTTTTTATATTTTAAGAGCTTATTTTAAAATTTTAATTGCATATTTTATCTTTTAGTGCATATTTCAATGTTTTTTCGTTTTTTTTTACTAATTTTTGAAATATATACTTTATTGTCATTATATATTTATAGTTTCGATTAAGAGATTCAATAATGTGATTTTCTGTTTTTGTCCAACACACTCGTGTCATAGTATTTTAGACGTGTTTTTTGCCAAATTTATTGATCTAATGAAGCGATTAGAATTCTGAAAACAGATTTGAAATTGACTTTACAACATTTTTGATATTATCCCCCAAATTCCTAAAAATGTCATATTAAAAAAGAGTATTTAAAAATTGTTATATTTCAATTTTCGGAGAATTTAAAATCAAAAAATCAAAAATGTAGGAGAGTCGATTTCAAATAGACTTGACGACAAATTGAAATCTGTTTTCAGAATTCTAATCGCTTCATTAGATCAATAAATTTGGCAAAAACCACGTCTAAAATACTATGACACGCGTGTGTTAGATAAAAACAGAAAATCAACTGTATCAAATCCCCTTAATATCAAAATAATTTAATAGGTATACTTGTATGTATAGATAGGTTTTCCCAAAAATGACCTTAGATCAATAATCAGTAAAATAAAATACGTATACCAAGATAAGAAAATATCGATTACGACCATTTACTATTGAGATTATTTCCATAATTATTTAGTTTCTATTGTAATTACCTAATATATTGTTTTAATTAAATGTTCAAAAAATATATATTTTTTTACTAATTGTTTTATGCATATTTTTATGTTTCACGCATATTTCAACATTTTAGTGCATATATTTATGCATGTTTATATTTTTTTAGCTCTTGGTTGGTTTTTAGCATATGTAAATCCTCGCTCTATTCGTCACTAATCATTATCTATTTTTACACTTATAAATTTTGGATTTAGGCAAACCAGGGGACTTAATTAAAGATGTATGGTCTAGTAAAGGAGTTTTAATTACCACTTATAACGGCTTGCTCCAACATATCAATAATTTGTTAAAAAATAATTGGCACTATGTTATTTTAGACGAAGGACATAAAATTAGAAATCCTGATTCTAAAGTAAGTACATTTAACCTTTGCTATTCATTTTATTAATTAAAGTTTTTAAAATTTCATAATTATTTCATAATTGTATAATATTTTCTGTAAGGAAACAAATTTGGTTATTTACTTGATATTAAATATGAATGTATAGTTAAATATTTAAAATAAAATAATATTTTATAGATAACTGTAGCTGCAAAACAATTGAAATCTAGTCATAGAATCATTATATCTGGTTCACCCATTCAAAACCATTTGAAGGAATTATGGTCGCTGTTTGATTTTATTTTCCCTAGCAAACTAGGGACTTTACCTGCATTTATTAAAAGTTTTGCTGTACCAATTACTCATGGAGGGTATGCAAATGCTACTGAATTACAAGTATTTTTTTTTTAATTCATTCACTTAAAGAATTATATATTTTTTGATTAATCAATTAAACCATTGCATATAAATTAGATAACTACAGCTTATAAATGTGCCACAATACTTAAAGACACAATAAGTCCATATCTTTTAAGACGTATGAAAGCTGATATTCAATCACATATATCTCTACCAGACAAAAATGAGCAAGTACTGTTTTGTCGCTTAACCGAAGAACAAAAAGCAATGTATCGAGGATATCTTGAAAATTCGGATATAATATCTGAAATAATGAATGGAAGTTGTAAAGTCTTTGTTGGCATATCTCGATTAAGGACAATCTGCAACCATCCTGATATTTTCCAGCCCAATTTAGTAAAATATATTTACTATAATATGCATAGAATTTTTTTTTTTTATTAATTCAAATTGTTATTACTTTTAGGAGACTGGTGCTTTTGGTCATTGGAAAAAATCTGGTAAAATGATCGTAGTTGAAGCTTTATTAAAAATGTGGAAAAAACAAGGGCATAGGGTGCTGCTCTTTACTCAAAGTGTAAAAGTAAGATATAATATGTCCATAACAAAATTATTCCTTTATTATTTATTCATTTAATTATATTTGCTCGTTTTAAGATGCTTAACATTTTTCAAAAATTTATTATTGAACAAAATTACTCATATTTGAAACTAGAAGGAGCAACATCCATTGGTTCCCGTCAACCTATCATTAACAAATTCAATAAAGTAACACATTTTTAAAAAAATACTTTTTTGTTAATAAAATATAACAAATGTCATTTTTTTTTTCTAGGACCCTTCTATATTTGTTATGATTTTGACTACAAAAGTTGGTGGATTAGGCGTTAACCTTATTGGAGCTGATCGTGTGATTATATTTGATCCAGATTGGAATCCAGCCACTGATTTACAAGCTAGAGAAAGAGCTTGGAGAATTGGACAGACAAATTCAGTCACTATTTATAGATTACTTACTGCTGGAACAATAGAAGAAAAGGTATATTCATTTTTAGCAAACAAAGATTGTATGTAAATGAGTACTACCTATATTATTTTATATTTTAGATGTATCATCGTCAGATCTTCAAACAGTTTTTAAGCAATAAAGTATTAGTGGATCCTAAACAACGGCGTTTTTTCAAGTCAAATTATTTATATGAACTTTTCACACTTCAAGATGTGGACGATAATGGTGTGGTAGAAACAACAGATTTATTTGCTGGAACAGGCTCGGAAGTAATTCAGTTATGAATTATTTAATATTTCTTGGACATATTTTATGGACATTTTTATTTTTCTAGATCAATTTAAAAAAAATGATGACAGCTCGGCGTGAAAGAAAGAAGTCTAAAAAAAAATTTTCAACCTGTTCATTTTCTGTCGATAAAATCGAAGCTATGAAACAAAAAGCACGAGAACTTAGTAAAACGATTGGTCAAAATTCAAAAACAGTTATAAATCAACAAATAACACCATCAGAAATGTGTATTAATAGTGAACATTGTACTGATGCTGACATTATTAACCCAACTCAAAAGGATACTAAAACATCTAAAATTAATGATAAACCTTTTACTTTTGTGAATAATGAGAGTTTAAATATTCCATCTTGTAGCAAAAGTGCAGTAGAAAATACATCACCTGAAATGATTCAAGCACCAAACCCTGCCTTAAAAAGAACAAAAAGTAAATATTTACATTCCAAACACAAAAAACCTAAAATACCATATTTAGTGAAATGTGATGTTTATCAAGAAGAACATTTTGATGATCTTACATCCAAAAAACAAGACGATTATGTTCTTGAAAAATTATTCAACAAATCAGGTAGGTTTTATTAAATAATTATGTATAACAATTTACTTTTCCAGAAAATAAATAATAAAATATAATTTTTATTTAATAAAGGTGTAAAAGCAGCGATGAGACATGATAAAATTATGGAATCTTCAAAATCTGATTATGTTATAATTGAAAACGAAGCAAAAAAATTAGCGAAAAAAGCAATTGAAGATCTTGAAGCATCCCGTGCTCAGTGTTGGGAGTCAGGATCTGGTAGGTTAAACTGGACTGGCAATCAAGGAACAGTTAGACCTAAATTATTTAACAATACAGAAACTAAGTAAGCAAACTATTGTGAAAAGTTATTTCAAAATGGTTTTCATTAATCTATGTTTGCATTATTATTATTTACCTATATACCAACATTATGTAGTTATTAATCATTATGTTTTTTTTTTTTTAATGTTAGTGATGAATCAAGTGGTCCATCAATACTTTCTTTAATGAAAAAGCGTAATGGCTTCGTGGAGGCCACACAACGTGAAATGCAGATGTTAAACAGTATTAGAGAATATTTGTTAGAGAACAATCAAAGTGTGAACACTGATCAAATAGTGAACCAATTCAGAAATAAATACTCAGCCGAAGATACGCCACTCTTCAAGTCATTGTTAAGTGAAGTTTGCACATTCAACAGGTGCCCTGATAAAACTGGTGTTTGGACATTGAAATCAAAATATTGTTAAGCCATTCAAATTAAGTACAAACAATATTTATTTTACTATTTAAGTATACCAAAACAAACAACTGTTACTTTGTTATATATTTATTTTAATTACCTATCATCGCACATTTACTTCTTCAAAATATGTTTGAGGATAATTATTTTATTCAATGTGTTTTTAATTAGGTACTTAAATTAATGATGAAATCATGGTATAATCGACTGTCTAATATATATAGTAATACTGTACCTTGCAATATTTGTAACAATGTCAATTCAAGTTTATTAAATAATTTAGGTACCTTATTAGTATGTATTAATTTTAAGGTACTATTGCTGGGTTTCATGAACAATCACTAAACATTTATTGAACTAATAGTGAGCGTGAGCTAATGGTTCCTTAAATATGATTTAGTGGCCCACGCAATCATGGTTATTGGTCCATTAAATTAATCAATTTGTCATGCAACTCGACATATATTATATTGTTAAATATATTACATTTTATTAGCATTTAATTATAAATGTAATGTAAGTTATTATTATAAATTTGTATGAAATAAAATAAAAGTTTTATTGTTATACATATTTTTTTTAATTCATATTAAATATAAACTATATTTTGTAGAGTTAATTGGGTATTGTTTTTTATGTCAAGTCGAATATAAATTTTTTTGAGTTGTGTCTAATTCAAAATTCAAGTACTTGAAAATTGTCAAGTACCCGTGCATCCCTAATGTAACTCATAAAACTGAAATAAATTACTACAATAATAATATGTTGAAATGCTGAGAATCTATAATGATATTGATTATAAAATAAAGAACACTTTATAGAATGATCTCTTTACTATTTTGAATCTTTCATTGCAAAGTGTAAAGTGTAAACTTAAATAATTCTTATAACTTAATTTTTTGTTTCATTATGTTGTCCCAACCGATGGTAGAGGAGGGTCTTTATGATTGTTAATAATAATAGTGTTAGTACCAACTTCTAATCTCTAAATTATTAATTTAATTTACATGCCAATTACTATTACTTGTTAATCCATATACTAGGATCCACTTCTTCAGAAATTAAATTGGTTAATGATTACCTATCGATTACCTATACATAACAAATTAAGACAATTAAAAATATAACAAATAAGCAGTATACAACTGTTTTAAATTGCGGTGACTTGCGGTGTTCTTTTTAAATGGTTTTACATTGATTTGACAATATTAATTTTATAATTCTTATTCTTATTTTTTTTGGTACCATTTCAAAAACTCCATTCTATGTCTCAAATAAATCCCTCCCTTCTGATCTAAAAATATCTACAGTTATGGAATTAGCGAAAGTCAAAACTACATTACAAATGCTTCAATAACCGATTATATTGTCGTCCCAATCCACTTACCTATATCTTATATATCTCAACTAGGAATATATAACCATTATCCATCTCAATCAATAATTAAATTAATAAACGAAAATAGTAATTTAAATAATAAATATATCATATTATTATAATTCAAATTCAAAATTATAAACTATTTTGGTTTATTGTTATATAAAATTTCAATGAACAAATTGTCCAGGAACTCTTTGATATAAAAAGTTACATTATATTATATCCGTGGATTCATCAAATTGAAGTACCTAGTAGGTACCTATAATATCTATCATTAATATTTCATGGCAAATCTCAAAATCTTTTGTGTCTGTCATCACGTTTTAGGACAGTAAAAGTGCTTGGATTTTCTTCAACAGTAGCTTTTCTGATAGGAAAGTGAATCTAGTTGGTACTTTGGGGGGGTCAAAAGTAAAAATTTCCTAGTAGTTTTCAAAAGCGCCGGGAAAAACAACATAAAAATTAAGGAAAAACGGGAATTTTTACGCAAAATCGGTTTTCCAAAAAATCGGCTCCTAGTATATTGTTTCAAAGGCAGATGAAAAATATTAAAAATCCTTTGTCACAATTTTGCATTTTGAAATTTTGACATTTACAGCTTTCAATTTTTTTTAGTTTTTTTTTCTATAAATATCAATAAAGTTTTATCTGTTGGGCCAAAAAGTGTAAAAATTTAATACAAGGCTCCTTGACATTTTTTTTATAAGCATTTAAAGATCGAATTTTGACTAAATTTATCAAATTCAAAATTAAATAATTATTTTGTAGTTAAAAATATATAAAATGTTCAACTTTTATATCTAAGGATTGAAAATTTAAAACAAGATTCCACGGAAGTAGTTAATTCTGTTACCAAAAAATGTACAAAATACATAAGCACAGTTTATTTTTATAGGTAGTCATTTTAAGTTCAACTTTGGACAAAATTACATAAAAAAAGGTGGGCAAGTGGGTGTCGCTCTGCGGTACAGTAGGTTACAAGTAGGTCACTGTATAATGGATGGTATTAAATTTGAATTCAATGATATAATATCATTGTATAAGAAAAACGATTCTGAGCGGTGGCGGTATGTCAGTCTGTGTATAAGACATATTATATACATATCTATGGTATTAAACAAAAAATTGACCTATAATAGGTACCTATAATAAATTCCAAACTAATCATATCACAATATCCATTAGATACATATAACGCGTTATACATCAACAAAAACCGTGATACTATCATAGATATATAATAGTACACTTTAGAAGTTTCAAGTACCCACGAATAATATTATTCAATCACAACAAAATAACTAAAATCGTAATTCTTGGTTAAATATGAAATTTTGTCTAAATTTGAAATTAAAATGTCTGTAAAAAATAAGTGTGTTTATATATTTTTTAGATTTTTTGGTTAGATTTAAAAAGAAAAATTTTTACGAATTCTTAACTCAAAATAATTTGCTAATTTTCGTGATTTTTCCATATTTTGTCAATTTTAGATTCTGAGCGGAGCGATGAATGTATTGGTTTTACAATGATGTGTGTTTTTATATTTTTATATTTTTATATTTTTATATTTTTATATTTTTTTTTGTGTCTGTCATCACGTTTTGGGACAGTAAAAGTGCTTCGATTTTCTTCAATAGTACCTTTTCTGATAGGAAAGTGAATCTAGTTGGTACTTTGGGGGGTCAAAAGTAAACATTTTCCAGTAGTTTTCACAAGCGCCGGAAAAAACAACTTAAAATTAAGGAAAAACGGGAATTTTTACGCAAAATCGATTTTCCAAAAAATCGAATTTGGTTTTTGGTGTAACTTTAAAACAAATGACCGTAGATACATGAAATTTTCACTGGTTGTTTATATTTGCATTTTCTATACACGATAACATTTTCAAAATATTTTGATTTATTTTGAACTGTTTAGGGACATTTTCATTTTTCATTTTTTTTAGTTTTTTTTCTAGAAATATCAATAAAATTTTATTTGTTGGTTGCGAAAGCTTGAAAATTTAATAGAAGGCTCCTAATATGTTGTTTCAAAGGCAGATGAAAAATATTAAAAATCCTTAGTCACAATTTTTTTTTATAAGCATTTAAAATTCAAAAATTTAAAAAATATGGAAAAATCACGAAAATTAGCAAATTATTTGAGTTAAGAATTCGTAAAAATTTTTCTTTTTAAATCTAAGATTTGAAAATGAAACACAAGATTCCTTATAAGATTATCTACCTTTATCAATAAAAAAATCTCTACCGGACAGTCAAGTTAAATTTTTATGAGCGTTTGAAATTAAAATTTTTACAACATTGGATATTCACTCGATTTCTCATGTAGCGATTTCCTTATTTTGTTGTAATTCAAAAACGAACAACTGTAGATACATGAAAATTTCACTGAATGTTTAAATTAGCATTTTCTATACACCATACAATTTTGAAAATATTTTGAATCTTTTTGAGCTGTTTATGGACATTTACAGCTTTCAATTTTTTTAGTTTTTTTTTCTATAAATATCAATAAAGTTTTATCTGTTGGGCCAAAAAGTGTAAAAATTTAATACAAGGCTCCTGATATATTGTTACAATATCAGTTGAAAAATATTAAAAATACATAGGCACGATTTTTTTTTATAAGCATTTAAAGTTGGAATTTTGACAAAATTTATCAAAATCTCGAAAATTATCAATCGTTGGAATTAAAAAATTATAAAATGTTCAGTTTTTATAACTAAGAGTTGAAAATTCAAAACAAAGATTCTCTTAAATAATTCATACTGTAACCAAAAAATCTAAAAAATATATAAACACACTTATTTTTTACAGACATTTTAATTTCAAATTTAGACAAAATTTTATATTTAAACCAAGAATTACGATTTTAGTTATTTTGTTGTGATTGAATAATATTATTCGTGGGTACTTGAAACTTCTAAAGTGTACTATTATATATCTATGATAGTATCACGGTTTTTGTTGATGTATAACGCGTTATAAGTATCTAATGGATATTGTGATATGATTAGTTTGGAATTTATTATAGGTACCTATTATAGGTCAATTTTTTGTTTAATACCATAGATATGTATATAATATGTCTTATACATAGACTGACATACCGTCACCGCTCAGAATCGTTTTTCTTATACAATGATATTATATCATTGAATTCAAATTTAATACCATCCATTATACAGTGACCCACTTGTAACCTACTGTACAGCAGAGCGACACCCACTTGCCCACCTTTTTGAACTTTAAATGCTTATAAAAAAAAATTGTGACTAAGGATTTTTAATATTTTTCATCTGCCTTTGAAACAGCATATTAGGAGCCTTCTATTAAATTTTCAAGCTTTCGCAACCAACAAATAAAATTTTAATGATATTTTTAGAAAAAAAACTAAAAAAAAATGGAAAATGAAAATGTCCCTAAACAGTTCAAAATAAATCAAAATATTTTGAAAATGTTATCGTGTATAGAAAATGCAATTATAAACAACCAGTGAAAATTTCATTTATATACGTTCATTTGTTTTAGAGTTACACCAATAACCAAAATCGATTTTTTGGAAAACCAATTTTGCGTAAAAATTCCCGTTTTTCCTTAATTTTATGTTGTTTTTTCCGGTGCTTG